ATATAAAATGAGGTAGCTCTGCATTTTATGTTCTCATGCAGTTCTTATCTAACCTATTGACCTGTTGAATTATTTCTTGATGATCTTGTAAACAATCTGGAGATGATAAATGCAGTGTGTCAGATACCAGATTAAGAGGACACAACAATTTATTCATTCAAAGTTAAAGAAACTTTTTCCAGCCTGCTGCAGCATACTGTAATTTAGCTTTGAGCCAGTTATTAAACAAGACAATAATATTATAATGGAAATTGTTTAATATACATCATTAATAGTAAAGTGCCTGCTTTCATTGAAGTAAAAAAAAATGTGTGCTATGAGCACTTTCGAAATGAATATTTGATTCCAAACTTCCCTTGTGCATTTAATGACATGCTAATTTACATTTTAATTACTTCCTAAGAAATCGAAGCATTTGTTGACAGAAGAACATAATGTCAACTTCACGGTGCACTGTTGGTGGATAGTTAATGAACTTAATTAGATAATTAGTGATGTTAATTATCCTTCTATTATGAAGATAAAGATGTTACACAAATGATGCACTTTTCAAAGAAATACCATTATATGTTTCCTTTTTTTTTTTTTTAACTCAGTTAAATTGTAAAGCTGATAAAAGAAAAACAGAGTGATTGGTAATAAAAATTTTTAAGTACTAATTGTGATCATGTTTCACATATTCCTGTCTTCTTCATTTCACCTACCATGAACTGCAAGTTGAGTTTGTCCCTCCTTCATCCCAAATTAGCAAGCTTTTTTTTGTTCAGCTCCACTCTCCTTTTCCCTACCTCACATACCTCCCCACCGTAAACAACCGCCCTCCAAGGCACTGACTTTACTACTGTTTGAAACCGCAGGCTGGTCAGCATCAGCCTTAACTTTACAGTCTGTTATTGAAAGATGCTGTAACAATGCAGGAAAGAAGCAGCCAGTATTGGAAGGGACTTGTCCGCTATTTAGCTCTGGGTTCAGCTGCTAGTGTTGCCACTGACATCTTGGGTAATAATGGCCAAGTCTTTGTAAGTTCCTGTCCATCACCTTGAGAGACAAAGGTGGCTCTCGCTGACACACTGATGAAGTTATCTTTTACAGATTTGCTGTGGGTTTAACAATCAAGAGTTAGCACAGGAGATGGGCTCTTACTACAAAGCCAGCTAAAGAAAAATGAGTCCCTCCCAGTCAAGCCAAACAGAGTATTTTTTGGTTTGCAGAGCTACACCATTAAACACTTTCTTTTGCCGTTATCTCTGCAGTGACCTTGCATACACTGAGGGCAGCAGAGCAGAAACTAAGCTATCATCAAACTGCTCAAAAATCCTTAGAGTTCAAATACTGCATTTGCCCACTTAACTAGGAGGAATTCTCTTGCAACGGACAGTGACAAAACCAGTACAAAGTAGGTCAGATGCTGGCTTTTTATCTATAGCTGTCTTCACAAATACATTTTTGCTGACCAAAAGCCTACTGTAAAGTTTCTGGTTTTGCAATTAGAAGTTAGGAAGTCTCTGTTAACCTCTTCATTCTGAAGACTGGGATTAAAAATTGAAGAGATACGGATTTGATAGGCAGACTGTTCAGTGGATGAGGAATTGGTTGGATGGTCTCATCTAGAGTGTAGTGGTCAATGGCTCAATGTACAGATGGAGGTTGGTGACAAGTGGTGTCCCCTCAGGGATCCATACTGGGAACAGTATCTTCATCAATGACATAGACAGTGGGATTGAGTGCACCAAGATGAGTGGTGTGTTTGACATGCCTAAGGGATGGGATGCCCTCCAGAAGAACCTGGACATGCTGGAGAAGTGGGTCTGTGCAAACCTCAGGAGGTTCAACAAGGCCAAGCACAGGGTCCTGCACCTGGGTCAGGGCAATCCCCATTATCAATACAGGATGGGGAATGAAGGGATTGAGAGCAGCCCTGCAGAGAAGGACTTGGGGGTACTGGTGGATGAAAAGCTGGACATGAGCTGGCAATGTGCACTCACAGCCCAGAAAGCCAACTGTATCCTAGGCTGCATTGGAAGAGGCATGGCCAGCAGGTTAAGGAAGGTGATTCTGCCCCTCTACTCCACTCTTGGGAGACCCCACCCGTAGTACTGTGTTCAGCTTTGGGGCCCCCAGTGTAAGAAGGACATAGTCAGACATTGGTGCAGGTCAAAAATGATCAGAGGGACAGAACACCTCTCCTACGAGGAAAGGCTGTGAATGTTGGGGCTGTTCAGCCTGGAGAAGAGAGGGCTCCAGAAAGATCTCATTGCAGCCTTTCAATACCTGGGGCCTATAAGAAATATGGGGTCAATCTTTTTAGCAGGATATGTTGCGACAGGACAAGGGGTAATGGATTTAAACTAAAAGAGGGTAGATTTAGACCAGATATAAGGAAGAAATTTTTAACAATGAGAGTGGTGAAACACTGGAACAGGTTGCCCAGAGAGGTGGTAGAAGTCCCATCCCTGGAAGCATTCAGGGTTAGGTTGGATGGGACTCTGAGCAACTTGGTATAGTTAAAGGTGTCCCTGCTCACTGCAAGGGGGTTGGACTAGATGAGCTTTAAAGGTCCCTTCCAACACAAACCATTCTATGATTCCATGAAAAGACCTTTTCTATTTTGTTCTCTTAAGGGATCTAGGTCTCTGACACAGAAGAATATAATTAATGAGTCAAAACAGGAGAGGACAGGCATGATCAGGCCTGCTATAAAACTCAGGAGGGTTTGCATTTCTCGTAAAGAACAACTGTATCTACAGCCCTGAGGCAGTACTGTGTCTTACAGCAGTTAGAAGTATGCTGCTTGTAACCTTTCTCAGGCACTCATCCTCAGGAGGAACCTCAGGACATTGCATGGTAGCTGTTGACTGTTTTACAATTTACTGAAATGTCATTGCTGTAGTGGTTGTTACTCTCACAGCTTGTGGAAGATGACAAAAACAATCAGTTGTTGCTAACCTATTTTTATTTATTTTACTACGGGATTTAAAGCCTTTTCTCTCACTGTATAGTTCATGCTGCTACTTTTCCTTTTATCTCAGTGTTTCAATCAGCTTCTTATTGGTGTAGGGCATGGGTCCATAACAAGCAGTAGTAAAGACAGAGGCCACTACCTGAAGATTCTTCCCAAGTGAATACAGAAGGCACGTGAGACACAGCAAATTATACAAAGTCACATTACAACACTTTTTTAAAGTGACTGCCAAAGTTGGGTCAAATATATGACTTAGAAGCACCAATACCATTTACTTTTAATGTAACTTGTGCTCACAAATTCCTTTGATACTGAAAATCCCACCTTATACCGTATTTGTGAAGTGTACGAAGAAAAAGGGCTGTTAAAGAGCAAAGAGATTAATTTTATTGCTCTTAATCTCTCTCAAAAGTGTATCAAACTCCTTCAAAGATGGGCTGGAGGGAGAAAGGAGGGGAGAGAGAGAGTGGAGAAGAACATTTGGAACTGTAGCTTCACATCTCATTGAGAGGAACAATTTATCAGAGCTGTGGAGCTGTCAGTCCTTGACATGATAAGGAATAACACCAAATGAGTAATGTTTCCTCCAAACTCAGCTCCTTTAATTACAAGCCGCTTCCTTGCAGAAGAGAGACAGAAGATGCAGAAACACCAATTTCATGCACTTGTGCCTGAATAATGTCTCCGTGCTGCCTTTTCCAGATGGCAACCTTTTCACTGGAGGAACTAATGATGTGGGCATATTTAGGGGAAAACCAATAACGGAGTCTTTAACCTTCAACAGCAAAAAGCATGTTGTACAAAATGTTTCTTGGGATACATTTACAAATATCAATTACATTGCTCACTGAGGTGTAATCAGCTGTAATAATCAAAATTAATTTTAAAAAATAATTAAACAGACCCCAGGGCAAATACTCGATGCTCTTGTAGCATGACATCACAGTCTACATATGTACCTGGGAAGAACTTGCTCACTCTGTAAGCAGCAAACTGATTTTAAGGAAGGAGAAGGATGCTGTGGCATCCTGAGAAAAAAAAGAAACAAACTTGGAGCTCAGTAAGATACTCTCAGACACATTACTGTATCATAAACTTCCTGATCAACATACCTGGAAGTGAACCACCCATCACTGGGGATAAAGCTGCAACCTGCTGCAGCTTGAGCTAGAGGGTTAAGACTCACTCCCTCAACTAATGCTGTATTATGCTTACGGTTTCCTCAACAGGATTAAAAAAATGCTGCAGCACTGCAGTAAACACAAGCTCAGTCCAAAGCTCTGAAAATTCTGCAAATGCACAGCTGCCCTGCCCTACAGCTTGTTACTGTAGCCCTAACGCACTTAAACAAGTAACATCTACCTGGTGCTCTTTTTGTGTTAAAAAATGCCCGGCAAAAACATGGAAATGGCCCTCTCAGCAAAGGAGGAACTTACACATGGAGAAGGTAGTCTGCCTTCATTGCTGGTAGTACGAATGCTGCATACCCTCCAGGCCCATCCCTGGTTTATATAAGCATTTGTCTCCTTCTCTCTTGAGGCTAAACTAAAACTGGGACCTTTAATACTTCATATTGAGTAGAAAATGGAAGGATAGTACTATGGGTAATAAACTGATCCATTTTACTAATTCAGTGCCGGAAAGATAAAGTTTACATAAGTGATGTAAGTCAAAAGCAGCAGCAAAGCCAGCATCTTCTCACCTTGCTCTGACCCAACCAGAGCCCTGTGAGCAGAAACACATGGGTTGCTTACTTTTTTCCTTTCAAGTGCAATAATTAGGCCTCATGCAAAAAAGGTGTGCATTAATACATTGTATGGTAAAGCTGCCAATCAAAGTTCTTTAGAACAGTAGCTATTTCTTGGAGATTACTTCTAGTAGTCTAGAAAAGGAACCTTAACTGCAATAGGTGTCTAGTGTAACAATGGAACCTGCCACCAAACGTACTCAGGAAGCCTCCCAACTCCAGACAAATTCTTCAGAGCCATATCAAATCAGATGAGTGACAGAGCCAGAAAAGACAAAGAGCAGGACTTACCTCAGATTTGCATGTCATTTCCTTTGTGTTTCGGCCAGGCATCAACCTAATAGCTGAAGAGAGGCTTTCACTCCAGTAATTGTGCTTGCTCTGTGACAGGCCTGGCCCTGCTTTATATTGCAGAAGCTTCTTTTCAGATGCTGTGGGCCAGAACAGACAAAAAAAGCTTGTAAGACTGGAAACTGAGCCAGTGAGAAGGTAGAGGGTTTGTATCCCTGTTACACAAGACACAACAACATCGTACTGCCTCAGTTCAGCTGGCTTGTCCTTCTATTTATAAGGGGAGCATTGAATAAGCATGTAATTCTCAAGTCTTTATTTAAAAGCCTCACAAAGTTCTGCCATTGACCAGTGTCATTATACAGACATGAACTTTGAATCCCTACAGCACTTCACACATTGGGATGCCCTTCTCCACCCAAATACTCTCCCTTTTAAATTCTCCTATGGGATACAATTGTCTTAAGGAGATTTCTCTTGTAGTACAGCAGAAGTCCTACAGCATAACCAGGTGATTACAGAAGGACTAGGGCATGACACAGCAAGCAATTATAATCCTGGATGAGAGAAACTGAGAACCTGCTTGATCTAGCAGGTGATGTGCAGAGGAAGGCTATAACCAAGGAATCAGCAGCTTTCCATTAAGCACTACATTTACCACCATGTCTTTGCTTACTACGAGTGTTCTATAAAAGAACAGAGACCTATTAAGTGTAGCCAAGCTTTCGTCATAATTTCTTCCCATAAAGGAGTGATCTCCGTTATCTTCATGTCCCTTTCTTTGTCATTTCCTTTTACAGAAAGATCCATCTTGTAAATGTCCTCCAGAGCCTGCCGTCTTTGAGAAACGAGCTGCTTCCAGATGATTTCTACTGTTCTCAGAATCTCCTGATGGACTAGGAAACAAAAGAAACTAAAAATGAAGAATCATTTTTGTGTGTAACAAGCCAAGCAGCAAATAAAGCAAAAACATCTCATCTGGAACAGCTCTGGTCCAAAGTAACTGCTGGAGTCAGTGGTGTTGCTCCATTTTGTCTACTGCCTTCATAAGTTCTAAGCCAGACTAGTTAGTCTAATACAGAAAACAGCAGGATATTTCTTTTACCATATTTCAACTCCCTGAAAGAAACAAGTACGAGTGACAGAGGATTCTAACTGGTTTCTATCTTAGAAAACCGTCTCATCAGAATTTTGATGATCTTAGCATACACAGAATGCTCAAGCACACGAAGAACATACCTTGACATTGCCAAACATGATTAGAGACAGTGGAGGGAAGGTAACCAAGTTGTGAAACAATCTGTCACAGCAACGGGATGCTGCACAAGGAAGTGTTGAGCTGTTTTCCTGTACTTTTCTGAAAATCAGGCTAATTTGGTTGCACCATATCCAAGCCAATACATTTAAAAAATAAATTTAAAAAAAAAGGAGCATAGGGTTCAGCTGACAGCCTCCACGCTGAATCCAGCCCAAATTTTTTCCAGTGTTTCTCTTAAGAGCAAAATGTTTCTTCCTGTGTACAACAGACACAAGCTCTGTATAGGCCTTGGGAAAAAAGAAGTAAAGCTACAAATAGTATGCATCTGGGCACTGATACTGGCCACAACATGAAGAAGAGATCTCCAAACTGATATCCATTAGTCCTGAGGATGTGAGGTGTGAATTTTGGATAAAAAGGTATGATGCAAACATAAGCCATTTTTAGCACAACCTTCCTTTCTCCATGCTGTGCCTGCAGTGCCTAAACACCAAAGAGGCACAGGCTCCTCTGATAACTGTTTGTGTCACACACCTTCCTGCTTTGTAAGCCAAAGGCAACATGGGCCATAAATTACCATCATCTGGAGTAGGCAGGCTGCCCTTTTCTTCTTCACTGGGTGCAAGGAAAATTTGGTGATGAGAAGCTAGCTTTGGTTTTGCATCCACCCCAAAACCTTCTGGATAGCTGTGGCAAAAAGAAAAAAAGAAGGCCACATGAGGAAACCAGACTTCGAACAGAATGAGCACAGTGAAAAATCTAAAGGTATTTATACACATGCACTCCTACTCAATTCATTTAGTAGATCAGTATTCCCAGGCTCGAGTGCTTACACCAATCACATGGTACCGTAGGATTTACAGGAACTGGGAACTAAACTACCACCAGTCTTATTTTCAAAGTCAAGGAGCAGTCATCAGGATCCTATGGATCACTCTGCTGTACGTGCCTTATCCCTACACTTCCTAGTGCACTTGTATGTACCATTCATCTCAATTAGCTGGAACACAGGGCTGAACTGACGTAGCCAGATTGCATCCAGCTTTCTTGTACCTCCCCTGAGCATCTTGTATGCCACCTCTTTGCTCTGAATTTCTTCTCCCATTATGTGGGAAACACTGCCTTGCTGTATCCTACACCTGAACTGCTTACTTAGTCTAAGTTCTTTGCATCAGTGATTGTTCATTCAGTTTATAAAGCCCTCAGCACAAAAAAGCTGCAGTCTTTAGATCCATGGTATTAGCATCACATAGATGTGATTCTAATTGAGAACATCACCAAGGCCAAAAAGAGTTTGTGCTGCTTTGGGGGTGTGCTGTGTGTCAGATAATCTACCACTCAGTAGGTAAAAGATAGCAGAAGTTTCAGCACAGTAGTAATACTTAAAATAATTGCAACAGGCTTAGTTAAGGCATCCAGAAAGCCTGGACTGGGTCACAGAAGTGCTGTCAATATCATATATGTTATCTATAGCCACTAGTAACATACTACATTCTTTCGGTCGTAAACAGGCACTACTACATGGGAGAGTCAAATCTCTTGGGTATGCAAAGCTATCATTTTTATTTCTGATTTTCTTTAAACTACCACAATCTTGATTCCTTGGATTTGCTACGTTTGGCTTTTGCATAACACCAACACTTCTGCAAATGATTTTTTTTAATGTGTCTACTGTTGCTACATACAAGTAACCCTTATTCCATCTCAACAGTTTTGGCCTGGCAATTATTATCTGACTGGAATAAGAATGATGAAGAAATGACCTATGAAAGTGCAGCTCATTTCTGCTGTGATATTAATGGATTCAATTCAGACCATCTAAGCAGCACAGAAGGTTTTCATTGAAACAACAAACAGCATTATAGTGAATAAAGGGCTAGCTAATATTTGCTTCTTTGCACAAAACAGAATTTCCAAAATAACTCCCCAGCTTACATTAAGAACAGTACTTCTGATATACCACTTGTAAGAACAGCAAAGAGAGTGGGTACAGATGTTCTAGCCCTATCCAAGTCAATGTCAAAACTCTTCAGTATGACCAGAACTTTGAAGCTTAGATCCAAGAAACAATAAGCTTAAAGATTCACAAGATCCATGCACAGTTTTATATATGTTTTAAATGTACACACACAAGAACAACTGATATATCAGAGAAAACATGTCCCTAAATTAGCCCATGCAGACGTCTCGGAGAATGGCCACCTGCATGCTTGTGGAGTGATCCTAGCCCACATCCCAGGAAGGTTTACAGATTCTCATTTTAGTGCTGGGCTTGTAAGCCAACCCCACTGAAACCAGTTCAAGCTTGTTAACTGCAGTTACTACTCCAAAGTGAGTAAGCTGCTGGAAATGCTGGATGAGTGAAACAGATACAACACAGAAGTTTTGTTTAATGAAGAGTAGCAATTAAATCTGTGTGCAGGTTTAAGGGTTCTGCTTAGACAAAGGTGCAAGCTTGTCTGGGTGTCTCTGAAATGAAACATTCTCTTCAAAATTTAAAAAAAATAACTGTTACGTATCTACTATCCACTGTGCCTTGCTTATTACACCCACAAACGTACATACTAGCCTGCCTCTGAACAAGGCTAGCTGGTGGTCGGAAATTTTCCAATCACTAGTATTTCAAGGAAAAGCTAGCCTTCCTACTGAAGAACAGTTTATCTCTTCCATTTTCTTGCTGAAAGACAAACAATTGCCTCCAGAACATTAAGCGCATTAGTAACCACCTTCTCCTCCAAATCAAATGGTAAAAAATTGCATCAAAATACACCCATGGTGGGTTTTTTTTGGTTTAGGTTTTTTAGGGGTTTTGGTTTTGTTTTGTTTTGGTTAGGTTTTTTAAGTGTATGAGGAAAACGACCACCTTTTCCCAAGTGGTTTTACTCTGCCACTTCAACAGACACCAAATTGTGTCCAATTGAGGTTGGACTAGGTGATCCATGTGGTCCCTTCCAACCTGGTATCCTATGATTCAAATCAGAGCAGAAGGTTTGTCCAACTTAAAGCAGAACAGTGCTTTAAGCCCCCAGAGCAGTGACCCCCAATACTTGCTAGGATATAGTACATACGCCACATCCAAAGTCCTTAGTCTAGCTGAATCCACCTCAATCTCAGATTCTAGTGATTCCTCAAAGTGGATATTGCCTACGGTTTGTGAAATCTCCCCCCTCTGCACCCAATCCCTTAGATAACAGCACAGAGATGTAAACAAGCTTTATACTGAGATCAACATTTGTACCTGCCCAAATTCAGTTGGCAAAGGCAGTACATTAGGCACACGACAAAATTACTATTTGAGTTGTAAGTTGCAAAAATAATGTCCCACTGCTCCTGCAGAACATTGAGAGTGTTCAGGACATTAAACTGTTCAGGCAGCGATTGTTGTGGTCTTGATAGGCAGTATAGGATGGCTCTGTTTAGACAGCTGTACAGGGCACTGAGGAAAACTTCCTTTTGAGAAATGGTGCTTTCTAGGACCTGTGAAAACACAAAAAAGTAGAGTACTTGGCGTGCTCAAATAACTCTCTTCCCAAGGATTCAGTACTCTAACTTCATTTAAGCTGTTGCAAACTTAGTTCAGCAAAATTCCCCTGAACTACCTGTTAGATACAAATTTCCTTTTCCTGAATTTCTGCTGAAGTCCCCAGAATTGTGGAAGAGATTAATTTAGTCCTGTTCAGCAACACATACATAGTAAACAGAGTGGCACAAAAGAGCTAACTATCCCTTCTTTACGCTGCACCATCTAGCCCTTATTGATATTTATATAAATATTGCTATTTATGAATGACTGCGTGTTCATGCAAGCAAACAAAAACAATCACAACCACCAAATGGATTACAGCCTCCTTCTTGAGAATTGCGGTATCACGACCTCAGTGTGAAACACTCACCCCCATAATCTGTCTGGCAGTGAAGAGCAAGATTTGTTTGGGATCAGCAGCAAACATTCCACTGTTCAGCTTCTCAACCAGCTTCTGAGCAAAATAAGCAATATTTGTCATGGATGTAGGTACAGTTGTTTCTGAAGTGCCATGAGGATCACTGCTCCCTGGAGAGGATACAAGACAGTTGTTTATGTCTAAACAAGTTAGATGCCAAAATAATTATGTGAGAAGTGAGGTTACCAGAGCTGAGAAAGAACAAGTCTCATGCCATAAATTCTCAGTGGTGGGACATGTCTAAGAAAACTTTAGATCTAGCAGAAGTACCTTAATCAGACTGGAAATTATGGCTCCATCCTAAGGACACAACCAATCTCACTAAAATACTGTCATGAAGGACTGGTCCAACTAATGACTCGGTAAGGAGAGAAGTAAAAAATAAGTTATCAAGGTTGTTTCTAGATGTGCTCAGGGATAAACTTAGATTTCTAAGTACTCCCTTTTTAATGTTCAGAATCTGCTCTCAAAAAGAGAGAGAAAAGTGAAGAAGCTTTCTAGAAAATGGTACAACTACTGTAACTTGTGCAAAGTGGCCTACAGCAGGAGTGACCATACAGGCCAGCCTGCTGAGCTGGGCTGTCTTTCTAGCTACAGTTTCCAAACCTATCTAGGAATTAAAATATCAGCTAGCTAATGATCTGACTCTCACCACTCACCTCTTGGTCTTGTTTTCCCCTCGCCTTGGCTGGTAACATGGAAGACATCCATAGCAGACAGCAAAACTTTTGTCTGAAAATGTCTCTTCTGCTCTGAGGTGGCATCCTCTGGAGAAGCCTATACAGTGACTGTATACATATTAGTACAGCAGGAAAACAGTCAGGAAATCAGACTCAAATTCACTTTCAGCCTTTATTCAAAGGCCTTTGATTTCACTGGATCTTTGGCAGATTATGCTTGTCAAAGATTCAGATTCAGTAGAAGTTTTGCTCAAAGAAGTGAGTACAACTTCCAAGTGACACTCATTACTGAGATAATTCAAAACGTCCAACATTTCCCTTGAACATCTAAGCACCATGTTAGGAATAGGAGGGGAAAAACAGCACAAGAAGGGCAAGGACAACTACTGCACCTTATCTGCACACTTTAGCCCTTGGTGTGGGCATATGAAACAGCTGCTGCAGGCTGAGAAGTTGTCTGTGACAGCTAATCCATATGTATTGGGT